CATACATCCAATATACATCCAAAATACATCCAATATACATTCAACATACATCCAACATACATCCAATATACATCCAACATACATCCAACATACATCCAACATACATCCAATATACATCCAATATACATCCATGGCTGCCAACCACAACAACGTGACCACACCATTTATCACCCCAGGGGCGGACTGACCATTCCAGCACTTGGGCACTGCCCGAGGGCCCGAAGTCAGTAGGGGGCCCCATGAGATGCCCCTGGTACCTTTCATTGGCTTTTTTGGGTGTAGGTAAGGACACAGTGGCCCCATGATCCCATATTGCCTGGGGGCCCCATGAGTTCTCACTCCACCCCTGATCACCGTTTACCAGTAGGAGTGAACTTAACCCTCCCTGGCGGTATTCCTCGGGGTAAAGTTTCAGCACCACAAGCGGTAACCCCCCCCCCCCCCCGAGCTACACTCAGGAATACACTGCAGCGTGGCTCTGGGATCTCTTCTTCACTTACCTTGTCCTGCGCTCCCCGCGATGTCCCTCCTGCAGTGTCCCCTGCAATGTCCTCCGGCCGATGCCAGCATCTGTCATCTGGGTTCCGTTCCCTGTGACGTTGGGACGTACGGGGGGCGGAACTGGCGGGAAATTTGAAAGTTGTAAAAGTGACATTCACTAAATAACACTAAAATCACATAGTATAACATTCCTGTATCAAACCATTTCACATACATTTTGTCCCGAGTGCTTTGTCCGGCGCCCTGCCTGCAATTTTACCGCCCTTTCTGCCTGGAAACTGAGAAACGTCCATGGGCGTCCAAAAAGCGTCCCTTTAGGTCAGACGCGGTTTTAGACCGGCTAGAGAACAGCGATAGTAAATCAGAACCACTTGCAGAATTGAGTGATAATGATTGGTGGGGGAAATTCCTCATCAGACACTGAAAACGATTCTGCGACTGAGCTCAGCGATTTTGAACGTGACGCAACGCGTAGATGTGACGTGGTGACACACCTCTGGTGGAGCGCCATCTTGGTACACCAGGTTATACACAGTACACCCATACTTAGTGGTATGCAGGGGCGGACTGACAAGACATAGGGCCCCTGGGCAATAGGGGATCATGGGGCCCCTGTGTCCTCACCCACACCCAAAAAAGCCTATGAAAAAGCCAATGAAAGGTACCAGGAGCATCTCATGGGGCCCCCTACTGACCCTGGGCAATCGGGCAGTGCCCGAGAGCTCGAATGGTCAGTCCGCCTCTGGTGGTGTGACAGCCTGCTTTGGTCTGCCCAAATGTGAGTGCATAACTTGGCATTTTGACATGTTTTCACTATAATAAACAGTGTTGCATTATGGGAGATTTGTTTTTTGTCCTTTCGTGGCCTTAATGTGATACTCATTTATTGGCCTGCACTGCGTTTATCCGTGTATGGAAGAGTGATCAGTATTGGAAGCAAGTTACCAGTGAGGGTCTGTGGAACCAGAGGAGCCTGGGTGGCCTGGAGAGTTGTTTCCTGTGTAGGATCCAGGGTGATCCAAAAGGCATGTTGACCCGTTTGGGTCGCATTCAGGAGGTGAGGGGGCATGCCTGCCATCTAAGGATATCTGCTCACCATCTGCACTGGCACTGAAGCACATTTTTCTGAAGATAAAAGCACCTCTTTGCATTTATTGCAATTTTCTGCATACTTTTTGGACATTTATGCATTTGTTTTATGTGTATTTATGATTTTATTATAATTATTATACAGGATTTATTATTATTATTATTATACAGGATTTATGGCGCCAACAGTTTGCTCAGCGCTTTACAATATAATGGGAGACAATACAGCAACAATACAGATCAATACAAGAGGGATAGGAGGGCCCTGATCCTGGGGGCTTACAATCTAGGAGGGAGGGGCTGGTGGTACAAAAGGTAGTAACTGTGGGGGATGGACTGGTAGGAAGAATAGAAGATTCCATTATTAGCTGAAGGCGGGATAGGCTTCCCTGAAGAGATCAGTTTTCAGAGATCGCCTAAAAGTGAGCAGAGTAGGCGATAGTCTGATAGATTGGGGTAGAGAGTTCCAGAGGATGGGGGAAGCTCTGGAAATGTCCTGGAGATGAGCATGGTAGGAGGAGACAATGGAGCTAGAGAGCAGGAGGTCGTGGGAGGAGCGGAGAGGTACGGTTTGAGTGATATTTAGAGACAAGATCGGTGATGTAATTTGGGGCGGAGTTATAAATGGCTTTATATGTGATTGTTAGTGTTTTGAATTTTATCCGTTGGGCAATGGGAGGCCAGTGGAGGGATTGGCAGAGAGGGGTGGAGGATACTGAGTGGAGGTCAGTGGAGGGATCCATGGAGGACACTGATGGAGGTTGGGGGATTGGCAGAGAGGGTGGAGGACACTGAGTGGAGGTCAGTGGAGGGATTGGCAGAGAGAGGGTGGAGGACACTGAGTGGAGGCCAGTGGAGGGATTGGCAGAGGAGGGTGGAGGACACTGAGTGGAGGCAGTGGAGGGATTGGCAGAGAGGGGTGGAGGACACTGAGTGGAGGCCAGTGGAGGGATTGGCAGAGAGGGGTGGAGGACACTGAGTGAGTGGAGGGATTGGCAGAGAGGGGTGGAGGACACTGGAGTGGAGGCCATTGGCAGAGAGGGGTGGAGGACACTGAGTGGAGGCCAGTGGAGGGATTGGCAGAGAGGGGTGGAGGACACTGAGTGGAGGTCAGTGGAGGGATTGGCAGAGAGGGGTGGAGGACACTGAGTGGAGGTCAGTGGAGGGATTGGAGAGAGGGGTGGAGGACACTGAGTGGAGGTCAGTGGAGGGATTGGCAGAGAGGGGTGGCAGATACAGAACGGTTAGTAAGGTGGATGAGTCTGGCAGCAGCATTCATGATAGACTGAAGAGGGGATAGCCTGCGATGAGGTCGGCCAATGAGGAGGGAGTTACAATAGTCAAGGCGATATATAACAAGGGAGTGAATAAGTTATGATTATTTTTGAGAGTGTTTTTTATTTGGGTATCTCGCACCCGCCACTTTATTGGTCATATATCCCACATTTGGGATTCACCTTATATATCACCTAGTGTTTGGGGGTTTTGTCCCAATTGGGATTGGTCGTTGTCACTTTATGAGGGTCCCTGAATAGGACCAGTTTATCATATGCACTTTGTGTTATTATCACTGTTTTAGACACCAATCATTAGATCTTGAAGGATCTATCACTCATATATTTATCTGATTTATTATTTTCATTATATTTATTGTGTGATTTGTACATTTAGTTTTAGTGCTACACCATTTATTTATCAAGTGTCCCTCCCCCTCTCTGTTGGGGTCCCCCAAGGCTCTGTCCTCGGGCCCCTCCTCTTCTCCATCTACACCTCCTCCCTTGGCAAACCTTCTCACTCCCACGGCTTCAACTACCACCCAGGGGCGGACTGACCATTTGGAAACTCGGGCACTGCCCGAGGGCCCGGGGTCAGTAGGGGGCCCTATGAGATGCCCCTGGTACCTTTTTCATAGGCTTTTTTGAGTTTGGGCAAGGACACAGGGGCCCCATGATCCCTATTGCCCGGGGGCCCCATGAGTTGTCAGTCCGCCCCTGCTACCACCTCTATGCCGACCCAAATTTACCTCTCCACCCCCCTCCTCACCCCCTCACTCTCTGCCCGCATCGTCCACCTCCTAAACGACATATCAGACTGGATATCGCTCCATTTCCTCAAACTTAACCTATCCAAAACCGAGCTCCTGGTCTTCCCCCCACCCCGCGCCCCCCCCCCATCCTCTCCATCACTATTAACAACGCCACCATCAATCCAACTGCTATCTAGATCATGCAGGCTCCACCTCCGCAACATCTCCAAGATACGCACATTCCTCACCCAGACACCACCAAACAACTCGTACACTCCCTCATCATCTCACGCCTGGACTACTGCAACTCCCTCCTCACTGGCCTCCCTCATCATCTCACGCCTGGACTACTGCAACTCCCTCCTCACTGGCCTATCCAAACGAACGCTATCCCCACTCCAGTCTATCCTGAACTCAGCGGCCAGACTCATCCACCTCACCAACCGCTCCACATCTGCCTCCCCCCTCTGCCAATCCCTTCACTGGCTCCCGATTGCCCAACGCATCAAGTTCAAACTGCTAACTCTGACCTACAAAGCCATTCACAATGCGGCCCGAACTACATAACTGACCTGATACCCAAATACTACCCTACCCGTGCCCTCCGCTCCTCACAGGACCTCCTACTCTCTAGCTCCCTGGTCTCCTCCTCCCACGTTTGATTGCAGGACTTCTCCAGGACTTCCCCCATCCTCTGGAACTCCCTACCCCTATCCATCAGACTGTCGCCTACCCTTCTCACCTTCAGGCGCACCCTGAAAACCCTCTCTTCAGGAAGCCTACCCCACCCTCACCTAACATCCGACCTCACCTAACAACTAACCTCCTCCACTCCTCCCACCACTCCATCCCCCGCAGCTGTTTCCTCCTGTACCACCTTCCCCTCCCTCCTAGATTGTAAGCTCGAAAGAGCAGGGCCCTCGAACCCCTCGTGTGTTGTATTGTTACTGTCTTGTCTCATGTTCTGTCCCCCCTGCTACTGTACAGCGCTGAGCATACCCATTGGCGCCATATACCGTATTTTTCGCTCCATAAGACGCACCTAGGTTTTAGAGGCAGAAAACAGGAAAAAAAAAATTCTGAACTAATGGACTGCAGACATAGTACAGGAGATGACCAGAGACTGCGGATAGTACAGAGATGACCAGAGACTGCGGACAGTACAGGGATGACCAGAGACTGCAGACAGCACAGGGATGACCAGAGACTGCAGACATAGTACAGGGATGACCAGAGACTGCGGACATAGTACAGGAGATGACCAGAGACTGCGGACATAGTACAGGAGATGACCAGAGACTGCGGACATAGTACAGGGATGACCAGTGACTGCGGACACAGTACAGGGGATGACCAGAGACTGCGGAGACATAGTACAGGGATGACCAGTGATTGCGGACATAGTACAGGGATGACCAGAGACTGCGGACAGTACAGGGATGACCAGAGACTGCGGACACAGTACAGGGATGACCAGAGACTGCGGACACAGTACAGGGATGACCAGAGACTGCAGACACAGTACAGGGATGACCAGAGACTGCCAGAGACTGCAGACACAGTACAGGGATGACCAGAGACTGCGGACACAGTACAGGGATGACCAGAGACTGCGGACACAGTACAGGGATGACCAGAGACTGCGGACACAGTACAGGAGATGACCAGAGACTGCGGACACAGTACAGGGGATGACCAGAGACTGCAGACATAGTACAGGGATGACCAGAGACTGCGGACAGTACAGGGATGACCAGAGACTGCGGACAGTACAGGGATGACCAGAGACTGCGGACAGTACAGGGATGACCAGAGACTGCGGGTACACTGAAGATTGACCAGTTTTTCTGCGGACTTACACAGTTCCTCTATCCAGAGACGCGGTCAGCCCAGGAGATTCCAGTAGACTGTGGACGCTCGGTACGGACAGACCAGAGACCAGTGCGCATGTACGCGAGAAGCGCTGCGCTTTGTGGGATTGAGCGGTCACCTTGAAATTGAGAGCCTTCTTTGATCTTCATGTTCCTCCCAGGTACGCGCGCTGTCTTCCCGGCTTCTGTAGTGTGGGCAAAGACAGCCCGATGCCCAGTGCGCATGCGCGAGAAGCGCTGCGCTTTGCGATTGGGACCCGGTGCCTTCTAGGATCTGTCATGTGTACAGAAGCCGGGAAGACAGCGCGCCGCTGGATAGAGGGACAGGTACGGTCCCACTGCAGAGCTGAGCGGCCGGCCCTGTATTCTGACACGGCGGCGGTGAAAATACCGGACCGGCCGCTCTATATTCGCTCCATAAGATGACACTTTTTTGGAGGGAAAAAAGTGCGTCTTATGGAGCGAAAAATACGGTAAATACTGTATAATAATAATTATTGAATTAAATGTATTATTATTATATTATTATTTTTTATGATTATTTATTAAATTATAATTTATGATTTCAAGTTTTATCATCCCGGGATGTTTACCAGACTCTTGTTCGGACAGATTTCAGGGAGTTATTCCTAAAAATTACAGCCTACAATAAGAAAACAACATATTTCCATGCAAAAAAATGTACCGCTTTGAGCACAGAAATAGTGACATCATCAGACCGCCAGGGAGGCTACCATAGAAATCTGGCCGCAAGGGCAAAGTGAGGAAATAAATGAGCAGAAGTGAGACGGCGGGCAAACAAAGGCCGCAGTCAGAAGTTTCCTCCGCACCTTTTGTTTTTATGCCCGCCCAAGTCATTTGCGCGTTCTGTTTTCTGTTGTGCCATAAAAAAAATGAAAAACACAAACACGGCACGCCTTTCCCTTCTTCTCCTTCCAAAATTCTCTAATGAGCCTCGAACAGGTTTTTATTCCGAAGGTATCTTCTGGCACCTGATGATACAAAGAAAAGGGATTTAATTAATCACAGGTGAAATGCCTTGGATTCCTTCCAAGTCGGTTTAATTGCCAGGCTCTGATCTTCATTTTCTTTCTTGCGATGAACCCCCTCAAGAAATTTACGATTAGGTAATTATCAAGATGAATAAAGAGATACTTAAAAGGAGATGAGAGAGGAGAGAGAAGAGTTTAGGTCTGATTCTCTTTGTTTAAGAATCCTATTTATCACTACGCAAACATTTCATGAGACGGGACCGCGGCGGTCCCTCGGGGAGCTTAAATATCTCCGAAAACAACTTATGTTCTAGCGAAAGGTGGTTCTTCGGGACGTAAGCTGAAGGAGAACTCTTGTGCTTTGGAAATGAAAGCCGGCAATACATGGAAACCTTTCTGATTCAACTTGAATGTATCCAATTTAGGAGTAAATGTAGCCCTGCTTGTACGGTATTATGTGTAAATAGTCCTGGCTTCCACACCTCTTGGAGAATAATTGCCTCCTTGAGTGCAACTCTTGAGCAGAGACTACCTGTCTCTGAACCAAATTGACTTGAATGAGGAATTCTTTTGACCTACTTCCATGGCCGTGAACTTAGTCAGAGAGGAACACAAACAGAACCAATGTTTACACACCAATTTCTTCCTGTCCGAGCCAAAAGCACGCTGTGAAGGCCTTTATAGTCCAAATCCAGGAAAATTAAAAATTGCCTGCCATGGTCAGGGGTCAAGCTCTAAGACTAGCAGCTATAGAAACAGAGAAGCTCCCACTGACCACCAAGAGAGTTAAACAAGGAGGTCACCTTGGTGGATTACACAGACTGAGTCGAGGTGCAGGGTCTCAGCACTAACCCGTATTCACCAGAGCTCCTAATGGTGGAGATGGGTTTTGCTGCGTGTTAGTACCAGGTCAGTCCTCAGGATCACCAGAGCTCCTAATGTGGAGATGGGTTTTGCTGCGTGTTAGTACCAGGTCAGTCCTCAGGATCACCAGAGCTCCTAATGTTGTAGATGGGTTTTGCTGCGTGTTAGTACCAGGTCAGTCCTCAGGATCACCAGAGCTCCTAATGGTGGAGATGGGTTTTGCTGCGTGTTAGTACCAGGTCAGTCCTCAGGATCACCAGAGCTCCTAATGGTGGAGATGAGTTTTGCTGCATGTTAGTACCAGATCAGTCCTCAGATCACCAGAACTCCTAATATTGGAGATGGGTTTTGCTGCATGTTAGTACCAGGTTAGTCCTCAGGATCGCCAGAGCTCATAATGGTGGAGATGGGTTTTGCAGCGTTAGTACCAGGTCAGTCCTCAGGATCACCAGAGCTCCTAATGGTTGAGATGGGTTTTGCTGGCTTTTAGTACCAGGCCAGTCCTCAGGGTCACCAGAGCTCCTAATGTTAGAGATAGGATTTGCTGCGTGTTAGTAGTACCAGGTTAGTCCTCAGGTCATCACACCAGAGCTCCTAATGGTGGAGATGGGTTTTGCTGCGTGTTAGTACCAGGTCAGTCCTCAGGATCACCAGAGCTCCTAATGGTTGAGATGGGTTTTGCGTTTCAGTACCAGGTCAGTCCTCAGGATCACCAGAGCTCCTAATGTTAGAGATAGGATTTGCTGCAAGTTAGTACCAGATCAGTCCTCAGGATCACAAGAACTCCTAATGGTGGAGATGGATTTTGCGTGTTAGTACCAGGTCAGTCCTCAGGATCACCAGAGATCCTAATGGTGGAGATGGGTTTTGCTGCATGTTAGTACCAGGTCAGTCCTAAGGATCGCCAGAGCTCCTAATGGTGGAGATGGGTTTTGCTGTGTGTTAGTACCAGGTCAGTCCTAAGGATCGCCAGAGCTCCTAATGGTGAGAGATGGGTTTTGCTGTGTGTTAGTACCAGGTCAGTCCTCAGGATCACCAGAGCTCCCAATGTTAGAGATGGGTTTTGCTGCGTGTTAATACCAGGTCAGTACTCAGAGTTGCCCTATCAGGAGGTGAGGAATCCGGGGTCCAGTAGCAGATATAGCAGGTAGGAATCAAGCAGAAGCATAGTCAGTAAACAAGCCAAAGGTCAGTAACAAGTGGTTGCAGGTTGAGATCAAGTGGAAGAGCAGTTGAGGAACAAACCAAAGGTCAGTAACAAGTGGTCGCAGGTTGGGATCAAGTGGAAGAGTAGTTGAGGAACAAGTCAAAGGTCAGTAACAAGTGGTTGCAGGTTGAGATCAAGTGGAGGAGTAGTTGAGGAACAAGTCAAAGGTCGGAAACAAGTGGTTGGGGTTGGGATCAAGCAAGAGTAGTTGAGGAACAAGCCAAAGGTCGGTAACAAGTGGTCGCGGGTTGGGATCAAGTGGAGGAGTAGTTGAGGAACAAGTCAAAGGTCGGTAACAAGTGGTCGCGGGTTGGGATCAAGTGGAAGAGTAGTTGAGGAACAAGTCAAAGGTCGGTAACAAGTGGTCGCGGGTTGGGATCAAGTGGAGGAGTAGTTGAGGAACAAGTCAAAGGTCGGTAACAAGTGGTCGCGGGTTGGGATCAAGTGGAGGAGTAGTTGAGGAACAAGTCAAAGGTCGGTAACAAGTGGTCGCAGGTTGGCATCAAGTGGAAGAGTAGTTGAGGAACAAGTCAAAGGTTGGTAACAAGTGGTTGTAGGTTGGCATCAAGTGGAAGAGTAGTTGAGGAACAAGTCAAAGGTCGGTAACAAGTGGTCGCAGGTTGGCATCAAGTGGAAGAGTAGTTGAGGAACAAGTCAAAGGTTGGTAAGCAAAGAAACGGACAGCAGTAGAAGTGACAAGAGTGAGATATCAGCTGGAGAGAGCACCGTAATCTGGCAGACAGGAAGTGCGCAGGCATGGCTTAAATAGGAAGCTCATGGGAGGGGCAAAGATTTTGAGGTTCACTAGAAACAAGGTTCAAGGCAAGATTGCTTAAGGAATTGTCCTGGGAACTGTCCAGCGGCGCAGCAAGAAGAGACACAGCCAGACAGCAGAGAATAAAAGATAACAGGGCGCTGCGCTACTAAGTGACTGATATGTGAAAAAATGAATGACATAAACTAGATAAAAATATAAGAGTCAACCAGGTGTAAACATAACATACATTTGTAAGGTGGTGCAAAAAATGCCAAGAGACAGTGCCAGCCGCAGGAAATCGGCTATGAAGTGCTAGTGACACAGGTGAATAAAACAATAATTAATATATACGAAGAGCGACTCAATCCCAAAGTAGACGATCAAAAATTCCTCATAATGCCGGAAACTAACCGGCTATGAAGTGCCAGTGACACAAGTGAATAAATCAATGGCCGTTATATACAAAAAGTGACTCCCAGAATAATCAATCAAAAATAATGGATAAGTGACACGAAAAACATCAAAAAGTAACTCAGTTCCAAAAAATAAAAAAAAAACGATGAACAAAAAAAACTAAAAAATAAATATATATATATAAAAAGGAAACTGACAGTCCCAAAAAATTCAGAAAAGAACGCAGAAAAAGACGCAGTGAATCTTCAGTGCATGTCGGGACAGATCCAATGCTGCAAACATATACAGTATGGACAAATCCTCCACTGGCTAGCGTGCGCGCTCACCTTCAAAATTCGACCTACAAGGAGTCACAAAGCATAGAAAGCCTCAAATGATGATTTCCAAGAGAAAGTTCCTTGATCCAATCAGAGAGCCAAAGATCATCTCCAATGGCGCCGACAAACACTCCTAAGCATGCTCAGCAATGGCCGCAGACCTCTGTCACCCACAATGCCTCACATGGAAGATGCAAGGAGACCCCCATAGTGTAATATAGCACAAACTTTATTTAAAATAACATCTAGAAATCACTACTCACATTTAAAATGGGTCCGCAGACCAAAAAAGGCAAAATTATTGCACTAAAAAAGTTCAGGAAAGGTGTAGGGAGTACCAAGATGGTGGCTGCTGTCTGTGCCAGATATGAAGTCACCACGCTTTTATCATACGCGTTATGTCACGGATCACGTGACTTCCTCAGGGCTCCTGAACACCCCTACACCTTTCCTGTCCTGACATTTGGGGGGATATGTTCTGTCCTAACATTTGGGGGGGGGGGTATGTTCTGTCC